GAAATCTCCCTTGGATATCAAGAGCTTCTTGGGATTGGCAGGGTGCTACCGAATATTCATACAAGATTTCTCCAAGATTACAGTACCCCTCACTCGTTTGACGAGGAAGGGGGTGGATTTCTGGTGGGGTCCTGAGCAGCAGACTACATTTGAGACTCTACGACAGCGACTCTGCGAGGCACTGATTTTGACACTCCCTGAGGGAGTTGAGGATTTCGTGGTGTTTTGTGATGCATCCATCACATGATTGGGAGCGGTCCTTATGCAGAGAGGATGAATGATAGCCTATGCATCGCAGCAGCTGAAGCCGCATGAGTCAAGATATCACACACAAGATCTGGAGTTGGGATCGGTGGTATTCGCTCTCAAGATCTGGAGATATTATCTCTATGGGGTCCCTTGTACCATATACACAAACCACAAGAGTCTGAGACATATCATAGATTAGTCGAACCTAAACAAGAGGCATCGCAGGTGGCTAGACGTAGTTAAGGATTATGACTGTGGGATCCTTCACCATACAGGTGAAGCAAATGTGGTTGTGGAGGCCCTGAGCCGCAAGTCGGCCGGATCTTCTGTTCCAGCAGCATGTATGAGGATATCAGTGGATTCTCCACTTGTGAGCTTGATCAGGGAAACTCATGTCGAGGGTGTACGACAGGAGAACCGGAAGCTGGAGAGGATTAGGGGCGAGATCACCAGATTCATGCATGATAGTCGGGGATTGTTGACCCGTTGTGATCGGGTATAGGTTCCAATGTATGGTGAGGTCAGACAGATGGTACTGGAGGAGGCTCACAAGTCTAGCTTCTCTATTCACTTGGGCCCACAAAGATATACCGAGATCTGAGACTCAACTACTAGTGGTCGTGCATGAAGAGAGAGATCGCATGGTACGTCGAGAGGTGCTTGACCTGCAAGATGGTCAAGGCCGAGCATCAGAGGCCGCATGGCAAGCTGCAGTCTCTAGAGGTTCCCATGTGGAAATGAGAGCAGATCACGATGGATTTTATCACCAAGATGTCGAAGACGACAAGGGGTTTCGATGCTATTTGGGTCATCATGGATCGATAGACCAAGAGTGCCCACTTTCTGCCCATTCGGGAGAGCTCATTGGTCGAGAAGCTGGCCGACATGTATATCCGCGAGATCATTGCTCGCCATGGGGTTCCGGTCTCTATCGTTTTAGACCGTGATGTTTGATTCACCTCCCGTTTTAGATAGAAGTTCCATGAGGAGCTGGGAACATGACTGCATTTCAGTACAACTTATCATCTACAGACAGACAGCCAGAGTGAGCGGACCATACAGACCCTCGAGGATATATTGAGGGCTTGCATCATTGATTTTGGTGGGAGCTGGGATTCCCACCTACCCCTTGCAGAGTTCTCCTATAACAACAACTTTCATTCCAGCATTGGTGCTCCACCTTTCGGGCTGTTGTATGGGCAGAAATGTCGTACCCTAGTCTGTTGGGGCGAGGTTGGTCACAGGTCATGGGAAAGATCGAGGTGGTTCTGCAGACTACCGAGAAGATTCAGCACATCAGTAGCGGTTACAGACTGCTTAGAGTCGGCAAAAGAGTTATGCCGACCGACGCTGATCTGAGTTGGAGTTTCAGGTCGGTGATATTGTATTGCTGAAGGTCTCACCTTGGAAGGGTGTGATTCACTTCAGGAAGAAGGGAAAGTTGGGTCCCTGATATATTGGATCGTTTCGGATTATATCCATGGTTGGCAAGGTGGCGTATAGACTAGACCCTTCGGAGGAGCTCCACCGGATTCATAGCACTTTCCACGTTTCATAATTGCGGAAGTGTATATTAGACGAGGAGTCAGTAGTAAGGGTGGTCGTTTGGATGGATCGGTTTGATCCGATCCAATCAAGTGAATCCGAATAGATTTCGGTTTGCATAGTCGCTAGGGTTTATCTCGTTTATTGACAATATCGTTTTTGAGAGTCCACTCGCAATACCTGTCAATGGGTTTTTAGAGTACACCGGGTGAACACATCGTTCACAACACCTTCAAATAGAGTTGGGACATTTCACTCATAACTCGCCGAGTCCCTCCTTGAACTCGTTGAGTTCCTCAATCTTCATGGCTCAAAACCATGGCCAACTCACTGAGTCATCTCCTAGACTCAACGAGTTTACTTAGTAACAGAAAACGTTGGGGGACCACGACCCAACTCGTCAAGTTGTATGAACAACTCATCGAGACCTCCATATCCTATATCCATTAAGTCACTTTCTGTTGGGCTCAGTGCATCCAATCCATATATCTGGTCCCCTAGAGTCGATATATCATGTAAAGTTACTAATTTACCTCCATGCATGAGTTATTTAGCTCAAAAGGCCCTAAAAAGAGGTTCACAAATTTCATGGGACTCCCATGGCCATAAAGTTGGCACCTTTATGCCATGGAGTCCCTCAAAGGATCTAGATCCAAAGTCATGACTCCAAAACATTCTTGCATCCATGAATGGTTCCAAAACAAGCTACTAAAAGCCCTAAACTCCTCCATGAAGAGATCTAGCAAGTGAATAGTCAAGGTATAGACTTTATACCTTAATATGGTTGCCTTAACAGAGAAACCCATGGATCCAAAGCTTCTTCCATCAACCAAGCACCTCCAACTTCAAGTCCTCCAAGAATTACCAAAGAATCACTCTTTTTTCACTCCTACACACTCAAGAGGGCTCAAGCTCACGAATTTGGGTATTTTGGACTGAGGGGGCGATGAAGGAGGCCATAATGAGGTGTTAAGGTTCTTAAATCAGGTGCAAACCCTGAAAATTAGGGTTTCACTCTGGCAGTCCTACTCGTCGAGTCGGGGTTCCCCACCTCGTCGAGTAGGTCTCTTAACCCACGTCCCCCAAAATAATTCCTACTCGACAAGTTTAGGGCCTCCAACTCGTCGAGTCCCTCTTTAATAATGAATGAATTATTTAAAAAAAACACACTTCAGGAACCGGGCGTTACATCTGTAAGACGCTCCATAAAGCACTAACAGATACAACTGTCAAAGATGCTCAACCATCAAGGTGGCCTCCACTACCGAAAATAATAATGGCAAGGCTATTATTAAAGAAGATTCCTCGACAAGCACCAAATAAGAGAGGACCCTTAAAGATAAGCCACTACACAATAATGTTATTTTAGGGAGACTCACTAAGCTTTGACTTACAGTTTATGTGTTATGTTTCAGGTACTTTAGATGATCAGGAGAAAGAAAATGTGTGATCGTGCACATCCTTCATTTTTTATAAGATTTGATTTTGGGATACTCTGATTTGTGATTTTGACTTTTGGAAACTAAGTTTTGTAAACATTTATGGTTTGTGGGTTGATTTTGAAAAATAAGAATTTTACCTTGATTTTTGGGATGTTACATGACTAGGCAGGATGTCCGACGACATGATGCTTGAATTCGAAGTTTGTATCTTCTTGGGTAATAATCTAATCTTGTGATCTTCTAAATGACAAACTACGATTTCCAGATCTAGTATCGAAGCAGAGTATCAAGGTGTTGCTAATGTTGTTGCGGAAACTTCTTGGATCTGAAATCTTTTTCAGGAACTTCCTCATCCCCTGAATAAGGTCACTATTGTTTATTATGATAATGTCAGTGTTGTTTATATGACTAGCAGCCCAGTTCAACATCACCGTACGAAACACATTGAGATTGATATTCACTTTGTTCATGATCGTGTGGCTACCAGATATATTTGCGTTCTTCATGTTCCATCCTCATCTAAGTACGCTGACATCTTTACCAACGGTCTTCCTACGCCTCTATTCCTTAAATTTCGGTCGAGTTTAAACATTCATTCTTCAACACACATTCAAACTTGGGGGATGTTAGCAATATTATTAGTGTTATGTATTTTGGGTTATGTATCCGGCCCATTGTATCTATTATTATTCAAGCCTTGTATTTGAAAACTATATATACGTGTTTAATGAGAAATGTCCGTCATTGGAAATTACACCAAGTAATAGAAAATAAACTAAACATTAGTTTTGTCTTGTCGAGAACCAGTCTTGTAATCGGCTTTCACATATATAAAGATAATAAACTAAACATCAGTTTTGGAAGTTATAATCACAATCATATATATATAAATTAACCACTAGTTTTCATTTACTTATCCTAATTTTAAATTGCTATTAATTTATGCTCATAATGGTTATTCATTACACACCTGTATATGGTGTAGATGAAACCAAAGACGACAGACAAGCAAATAAAACAATGTCCAAACCTTCTTTGGATTGTAGTAGCTTCACTTTGTCTATGACATCAATATTTTTATTTTGTGTATTTTCATTGTAGTAATTTAACCTTGCCTACGCCATTAAATATTTTATATTGTAATAAAAACAACTCATCTTGAGAACATCATCTTAATAATTTATTTATTACTAATAATATATAATATATTGTTATTATTATTAATGTCATTATTACCTATAAAGTATATTATTATTATCGCAGTAATATTACTTATTACTATGTTAATAAATTAAGGTATTTATACATATTTATACACATTCAAAAATACTTAATTAATGAATCAAACAATAGTTTTAGATGTTTGAAAAAGGTTATGCTGTCTCAATCAAACTTATGAAAAAGCTAACATATAAATTATGATAAATTATTTTTGTAATAAAACCAAATGCTAAGTTGCAAATTTACAATAAACTAATTTATTTCTGTCAATCAGACACTTAAACAAAAACATAAAAAGTCGGTGAGTTAGAGTCATCAACAATGTATTTACATGTTCAATTTTTTTTTTAAATAATTATGTTAGAAGAATTAAATTATCATTTTAACGATAAACATTTTATAATCAGGATTAAAACATTGATTAACTAGACAATAAAATAATGAAAAAACAATAACAAGTCAACCTAAGTCATGCATCATCGTCTTAACATGTAAACATTTGTTAGGTGTTAAAAAATTAACAATAAAACATTATATGGCTCAAAAAGAAAATTAACTCAATGTTTTATGGTCCAAAGAATCTCTTTCAATGATGCCAAACACAGAAAAGGACAATCACATCTGATTTTATATATATACATACACAAAAGGACTCTCTCAAACCAACCTAAGTTTCTAGCAATGGAATTAAAGATTTTCATAACGTTCTTGTTGTTGTTGCTGTTATTTTTATTTTCCATTTTTCTTCTTTTTCGAGGTAAGAAATATCAAGATCGACTCCCACCCGGTTCTTTGGGACTACCCGTGATAGGGCAAAGTTTAGACCTTTTGAAGGCACTGAAAGCCGATAAGGTCGATAAATGGTTTCAAGAAGGAATAACGAAACACGGGCCTATTTGGAAAGCCAGTTTGTTTGGATACCCGACAGTTGTTTTACATGGTCCAACTGCAAATAAGTTCATCTACACTTGTGATGCGAACATACTCACCAACTCACAACCACCATCAATTAGTAGAATCTTGGGTTCTAAAAATTTATTCGAGTTGGCCGGCCATGATCATAAACGAGTCAGGGCAGCCATTGGGTTGTTTCTAAAGCTAGAAGTGTTGAAACAATATGTTGTGAAAGTAGATGAAGAAATCCAACATCATCTTCAAATGCATTGGCATGGTAACCATGAGATTCAGGTAGATAATATAATCCTCTCTAGTCTATTCAATACATATTCGTTCCAAAACACACGTAAAAGTCCCTTATAAAATATTCATTTTTCACTTTGGATTTCAATCTGACGAAGGTAGATGATTAACATTATTTGTTTCTAAAACGTTGTAGGTGCAACCGTTGATAAAGACCTTGACCTTCAATGTAATTTGCTCACTTCTATTTGGGATCGAAAGAGGGCCTAGAAGAGACAAACTCCTACCACATTTCCAAGACATGATCGAAGGTATACTAGCAATTCCAATCAATTTGCCATTCACTCAATTCAATCGTGGGATTTTAGCAAGAAAGAACCTAGTACCTATGTTGATAGATCTTATACGTGAGAAAAGGGAAGCACTTGAGGAACAAAAACAACAAGCTAATCCTCATAAAGATCTCATCACTTCGTTGCTTAGTATTCGTAGTGATGATGGCTCAACAACGATGTCTGATGAGGAGATCATTGACAACATCATCCTCGTGATGATTGCAGGATATGATACAACCTCAATCCTCCTTACATTTTTGGTTAGACTTTTAGCTAACAACGAATCTGTTTACTCAACTATAGTTTGTGGTAAGGCATCTTATCTTCGCTTATATAGTAATCTTTTCAAAAACATTTTAAGATGCATGCATTTTTGTCATAAATTCATTCATGCTAGTTGGACACTCGTGACATTTACCCTACTTATAAGCATATTGTGTATGCATCCATGTCGTGACAACCAATAGACAAAACATCCCCATCACATACATTGCAATTTGTTTAATAAATTGAGTTTACATAATTGAAATTGTAGAGCAAGAAGAAATTGCCAAGAGTAAAGCACCAGGGGAAGCTTTGACATGGGAAGACCTTAGCAAGATGAAATACACATGGAGAGTTGCATCCGAGATGCTGAGGATAAACTCTCCAGTGATTTTAAGCTTTCGGCGAGCTACACAAGATATCGAGTATGGAGGATTTATAATTCCTAAAGGATGGCAAGTATGTCACATAGATGATAATTAACCAATAACGACTTATATACATAATATCATAGTATAGCATAAACACTTATTTGATTTTGTGTGTTTTTTCAGGTGGTGTTGTCTTCGTCAATGACACACATGAACAATGACATTTTTGAAAACCCAACCATGTTTGATCCAACACGTTTTGAGAAGCATACACCACAACCACCACCTTTTAGTTTTGTGCCTTTTGGAGGAGGGCCAAGAATGTGTCCTGGTATTGAGCTTGCAAAAATGGAAACTTTAGTCATGATGCATCGATTGGTGACACAGTTTACTTGGGAGCTTATTAAGAAAGATGAATCGTTCAAGAGAAATCCAATGCCAGAATTCGATCAAGGATTGTTCGTTAGGATCACACCCGTGTAACAACAACATTTATCAAAACCTACATATAGTCTTAAATGATCTCAAAATGTTCTTATTCCATTAAATCTTGAGATATTTGTGAATCCATGAACTTATTTGATAATCTTTTAATCTAGAAAATGGTATTAAAAGCTTATTGATAAAGATTGGAAAAACCTCCTCCCTTGAACGCAGTAACAAAATCATAGAATATGCATTTTCTTCTTGTTGCTTAAACTTGACCTCATCAACACTTGCATACATCTCCCTAACAATTGGAAACCATACACCTTGTTGTTTTAAAAATGTTTGCATCTTGATTTGTCATGGACTAAAACTATTCTTCCCCACAAACTTCTCAATCTTCACTTGAGGAACAATCTTCCATGTGATAAAAACCAATCAAGATCAATGCTGCCTTTCACCAAACAACTTCCATTATTACACACCCACTTCAAAGAATGCATCAACACCTGTGTTCTTGAACCTTAAGAATAATGTAATCTCAATGAAGACTTTTATCGAACACCTTGTGAGCGTTCCTTCAAGACACCACCTCAAAGAAGATTTCTTTGTGGATGGACCATTTTCAATTAAAAAAAAAATCACCCAAACAGAACAACTGAACAAAAGCAAACGAATTTGATTGCATCTGATACCTGAATTTGAATATGAAGATTTTCCGAGGACAACAAAAGTCGCACCCTCACCACTGGTTCGATTGGATTCTGAAATTTATTCCTCTCCTTAGTCTTGATTGAGAATACACCTTGAATGCACACTTTGGATCGTCACCCAAATATTACTTTCTCCCCTTTAATCAATTCTTGAAAAATTCCCAGCCAAGAACTCCATGAGACCTCTCCGTTCAATAAAAAAAGTCCTCCAATTTGCATATACACCATTTTGATCTTGATGATGACCAAAACCGATATCCGTTGACACTACCACCTTAGCCGTCCCTCAACCCTCCTCTCATTTATTTGACTATTTGGTGAATCAAAAACGAAAAATAAATAAATAAATAACGCACAAAGTCAATTATCTATTTCGATCGTCATGCATTTAAAATTGTAATATGTCTTAAATATGCGTTTATAATCAAAACAAAATTAGCTCATTCCCAAGAATCTTTTTTCATTGATGCCAAACACAGGAAAGGACAATCACATTTGAACACCATGAGTTTATCTATATAATACATATGCAAACACAAACACAAACACAAAGAAATCTCTCAAACGAGCTTGTGTTGTAACAATGGAGTTAGAGATTTTTTTAATACCATTGTTATTATTTTTATTTTCCATTTTTGTTCTTTTTCGAGGTAAGAAATATCCAGATCGACTCCCACCTGGTTCTTTGGGACTACCACTAATAGGGCAAAGCCTCGACCTTTTGAAGGCATTGAAAGCTGATAAGGTCGATAAATGGTTTCAAGAAGGAATAACAAAACACGGGCCTATTTGGAAAGCCAGTCTTTTTGGATACCCGACAGTTGTTTTACATGGTCCAATTGCAAATAAGTTCGTCTACACTTTTGATGGGAGCATACTCACCAACACACAACCACCATCAATGAGTCGAATCATCGGTTCGAAAAATTTAAGCGAGTTAATCGGGAATGATCATAAACGAGTAAGAGCTGCACTTACTTCGTTTTTGAAGCTTGAAGTGTTGAAGCAATATGTTGCAAAAGTAGATGAAGAAATCCAACACCACCTTCAAACACATTGGCATGGTAAACATGAGATTCAGGTAGATTATATTTACTTCTTCCTAAATGTCAGATTTAAAATATGAGTTTATTCTAGTGTTTACTTAAAGCCCATATTAAATATATTGATTTTTCATTATTAAATTATGATTTATATATGAATCCCATGAAACTTTTTATATTTTTCAATTGATAACGTTTATGAAATATTAGTAATTAACATATTGATTGTTAATTAGGAGTTCTCGGTGATTATAAATATTGCAAAAGATTCAAAATTTGAACGACAATTTTGATCAGAGGACATTGATAAGATTGTCTTTAGAAAACGAGTTTAGGAGCATACCACTCCCTAAGTTTTGATTTTACTTCACTTTTAAATGTTACGAGTGTACAAGATTAACATTGTTTGTTTCTACAACGTTGTAGGTGCAACCCCTGATAAAGACCTTAACCTTCAATGTAATTTGCTCACTTCTCTTTGGGATCGAAAGAGGGCCTAAAAGAGATAAGATCCTACCACATTTCAAACACATGATCGAAGGTGTGCTAGCAATTCCAATCAATTTGCCATTCACTCAATTCAATCGTGGGATTTTAGCAAGAAGGAAACTAGTACCAATAATTTTAGATCTTATTCGTGAGAAAAGGGAAGCACTTGAAGAACAAAAACATCAAGCTAATCACCATAAAGATCTCATCACTAAGTTGCTTTGCATGCGAAATGAGGATGGCTCAACAACGACATCTGATAAGGAGATCACTGACAACATCATCCTCGTGATGGCTGCAGGATATGATACAACGTCAGCCCTCCTTACGTGTTTAGTTAGACTTTTGGCTAACAACGAATCTATTTACTCAACTTTAGTTCATGGTAACGCATCTTATCTTCGTTTCTATTGTTATCATTGCAAAAGTATGTTATGATGCATGTATTTTTGTCATAGAACCATGCATGCATTAACTACTTACAATCATATATATTGGTCAGTATGGATCGAAGATCTAATTAAACACCAATATGTCAAGAATAAGAAGAGATTGCCAAGAATAAAGAAGAGATTTTAATTTATTCATATGATTGAATTTGTAGAACAAGAAGAGATTGCCAAGAATAAAGCCCATGGGGAAGCTTTGACATGGGAAGATCTTACAAAGATGAAGTACACGTGGAGAGTTGCATCCGAGATGTTGAGGATAAACCCTCCCGTGAATTTGAACTTCCGACGAACTATGCAAGATATTGAGTACGGAGGATTTATAATTCCTAAAGGATGGCAAGTATGTCACAATGAGTAATCAATTAATAAGCACTTAGATACAAAATATATATATCATAGTAGCATAAACCCTTATGTGATCTTGCATGAGTTCTTTTCCAGGTGTTGATATCTCAATCCATGACACACATGAACAATGACATTTTCGAAGACCCGACCATGTTTGATCCAAAGCGTTTTGAGAAGCATGCACCACAACCACCACCTTTCAGTTTTGTGCCGTTTGGAGCAGGGCCAAGGATGTGTCCTGGTATTGAACTTGCAAAAATGGAAATTTTAGCTATGACGCATCGCTTGGTGACAAGGTTTACTTGGGAACTTGTCAAGAAAGCCGAATCATTTAAGAGAAACCCAATGCCAGAATTCGATCAAGGATTGTTCGTGCGGATCAAACCCATAAAAGCATAATTTATGTCATCCAAAGCATCATCGTAGGCAAGATTTGGGCTAATAGTTTCCCAAGACAAAATGCATTTGTCCAAAACCATATATAGTCATATATACCTCAAAATGTTTTTCCATCAAAACTTGCGATATTTGCGAATCCATGAACTCATTTGTTGATATTTTAATGTAGAAAATATAGCATTACAAATATTAAAAATGGCAAATATAAAAAATGGTGAAGATGTAAAATGACAAAATGTGTCCTTAAAAGCATGGGTGGCTCAAGCATTTTAAGGGTTCTAACCAAGCCAAAAATTTGGGGTTCTTTAGCTTTTACTATACTTAGAAATAAAAAACAAATGAGATGAATATGTTGCAGAAAATAGAATCGGTAGAAGAATACAATGTCATTTCAGTTTCATGAATGCAACGATCGTTGATTTATTCTTTCGCTTCATTTATTTTGTGCTTACTGGATTGGATTTTTTAATGGGCTAAATTTTTGGATTTTGGAAAATATGGACCCCCTTAGAATTGGGGGCCCTAAGCCCTAGCTTAAAAAACCTCTACATAGAATCGGCCCTGCTTAAAAGACTAATATGCAAAGCACGTAAAAACGTAATCAAGTATTGAGACCATGTCATATTTTGCTTTAAAAATATATTGCGAATTAGTAAGTTATTTTATATACTAAATAAAAACGGTAACATAAAAAAAATTATATAATTATATATTTATATAAAAATATCAAGGTTTTAGAAGTGTTATATCAATACATTATAAAAAAACCAAAAAAATAATAATTAAAAAAAAAATAAAAAAAATCAACAATTCCATCCCAACTGAAAAAAAAAATACCTTAAAAAAACTTGTGTCATGGCACACCTAGACAAGCTATGACGTGCATCACACCTAAAAATGACATCAAGGGTATTTTTGTGGCGGCTGAGCCACTTTAGTGTGCACCTTTGCACCGCTCTGACGTGCATTTTAGAACATTATCTATGATTATCATGCGATATGCGATTATTTGGGGTTTGATTCATGGAATGAATGATTATTTGGTGTTTTCTATGTTGGGATGAATTTTGAAGAATCGAATGCTTATGATTTTGAGTTTTTTGAAATTGAATATTTACAGAAATCATTCTTTACCTGGTAATGGCAGGATGTTGCAAATGAGCTCTCTTTTGGGTATTCACGATGAACTTGTATAGTGATTGTGAACAAGCATGACATGACATCTCTTGAACATTTAGTTTTTTAAATAATATTCTTGTGATGGGTGGAAGAATCGAAGGGAGGGTGTGTACAACGGCGTCCTGTGGATTTTGAGATCCATATATGAAAAATAAAAATGAGTTCCTAAATATATATTATTTTATATCAAAATTGCAAAAATAGTTATTATGGTTGTTAAAATTATATGGTTTTGATCCAAAAATTTTTGATTGTGCATTAGTGGTCAAATTTTAGATCTTTTTAGTGATTTTGGTCCCTATACGCATGAAATTACTTTTATACCCTTATAATTAATTTTTTCCATTTTTTTAATTCTTACAATACTTTAATATTTTAAAGACATTTTAAAATTTAACGCAATCTCACCGTCCTTTCTCTCCTTTACAACACATATCTCAACCTATCTTCTTCAAGGTTAATGGAATCAAAGCCTCCACCACCCATCTGAAATTATATGTCTATCTGCCGCCCTGCATCGCCGAAGTTGTCGACCTCTTTCCCAAACATCACGAGACCACCGTTGTCGTATATCTAAATCAGATGAACATAAACCTTAGTTGTTCTCCATCGTCATCTTTACCTTTGTCTACGCCACCACTACGGCTTCAACAATCTCCACCGGAATAACGTCGCTAGGGTTTCAACAATCTTTGATGATATCATCATTATGTACCATCACCATCCCTATGGAAAACCCTAGCCAGAGCCTGAACCAAAACCTTCATCCATATGAGAAACGTGGCAGTGCTAGGGTTTTAGAAAATCAAAAGGATGCCAATGCTAGAAAATCTAAAAACGATGAAGATGGTGGTGGTGGCAGTCATAAATCCTCATCGCTGAAAGATGACGGGCAACGCCGATGAAGGAGGTTTGGGTAGGTGATGATGTTGGTGGGGTTTATACCTTGGTAAATCCTGTTTTTTCAGCTTTCCATGGTAGATCCCATTTTTCTGATGGCGTCGCTACGCTTTTCTTCCATGACAAGTGGTGGTGCCTAGGTGGTGCTGTCTAGCATGTGCTAGTGTCCGGCAAGTGGTGGTGTCCGGCAGCGACAGTGGTAGTCATGCGATGGTGGTGGTCCGGGAGAGAGAGAGAGAGAGAGAGAGAGATGGGATAAAATTCTCTAAGAGTAAGGCGTAAGGGGTGGTGGTTAGAAGGTGAAGGCGTGGGGTGGGTATGATTAGTTTTGGATTTTTAATTAAAATAAATAAAAATTAATTAAAAAGGAATTAAAAAAAGATTTATCTAATGGCAAATTCGTCAATATAAGTTGGGAATTGACCAAAATTGTCACACCCCAAAACCATGAATGGCGGAAACATTCTGGTACGTCATGTACAGTATCACAAACAATGAATAATAGTAAACAAGCAACAACATCATCCATTGCATTAATAATATAATTTCATACATGTGTGATCTGTCAAAGTTATAGACACCAAAAATTATACATATCAAAATAAAAGACGAGTCTTGAATGAACTCCATCTTCTCAAAAGCCTGGCACCCGTACCTCTGTCTAGTGGTGACCTGAGAATACAAGTTATTTTGAAAGCGAGTATCAGCTTAATGCTGGTGAGATCATAAGTATATTAATGTCTGTGTTTGTATGAAAACGTTTGTAAAATGTTTATGTAAGATGTTTTGTACAATGTTTTGTATAATGTTTGAACTTTCCTAGAAAACCCTATGTTTCCTACTAACTGTAGCCTTCTACCAAGGCATTTAGTGTCTGTGTGTATGTCTCTTGGTAGAGTGTGTGTTTTCCCCAATTCGGACTATCATTAACCAAAAATATAGATTCTACATTACAGTGCATCGTGTGAATATTCACGAAGTGGATGTTAATGGGAAAAATGAGATAGTACTATGGTTAATGTCGTACTACAACCGTACTAATTACCTTAAGTCTAGGGTAATTCTTATAAGTACTGTAGTATTTGTAATAAGTGACTACCTTTGTACTTCTATTGCCTTATTTGAGGGATAAGGCCTAATGTGATGGCTACATCCCAGGCTAGACGCCCCCCCCCCCCGGGTAAAAGGGATTTTGGGACCTTTACACGACTGTTGCATATTTGCACGCCGTGAACATCCACATTACTATGACCATGTATACCCGATATAACTATCACAATGCGTTATGATTCATCGGTATAGTTAGATCCTGAACTCGTTCTATGCTATAGCACCTAATGATGTTTGTCCTATTATCGTATATGTAAACGCACTCATGTAAACGTATCTATGTAAACGTACTCATGTAAGCGTAATCATGTAAACATATCTATGTAATAGTATGGTAATGTATTGTAATGTTCTGTGTATGCTAGCTGTAATGTGTGTTCTCTCTCTATCTAGCATGTATAGTAATGTAGTGTCTGTACTAGCTGTAATGAGTGTTCTCTCTCTATTTAGCAAGTATTGACTCATGAATGAACTGACTCATTGTATGTTTCATTGTTCTAGTAATAATAGTATCCTCTCGTGCTACCCCTATGGTAACTTACTAGCGATGTACTGGTACGTATGAACATGGAAGTATACCCTTGCTACCCAAGGGTACCGAATGAACTGGAAGGACCTTTTATGACTATATATGTACACATTATATATAACTAACATTTAAACGACCTTCGGACGGGTACCCGATATCCCACCAGACCACATCTCAAGCGCGAAAAGGAAATAGGGTGGATAGCCTTCCTAAGTCCTTTAAACATTTCTTATATAACTATACATACATAGACATGCAATTGATAATAAGTAAAATAGTAGTTTAAGCAAATGTATTTAATAAGTATAAGAACTTGTAAAACAGTTTGATAAACAATTTGAACAATAAGGAAATCACTGGTTTTGTAGTTATTAATCACATGTGATTGATGTAATAACTATAAGCATTTGACTTGTATTCCCCCCCCCCCCCATAAAACATTTAAAACATTGATTAAGGGGTATGAACTCACCTGTAGTGAGTGGTACGGATGTACTGGAGATGTAGGATTGCTAGGTGTCAAGTGAAGTCTTGAACACACGCTATGATCCTAGTTAGCATATAATCACACATATGTGTACCTAATTAGATTTAACTACTAATTGAAATTGTTTAGACCTCCTAGAACATGTTAAACACTTATAACAAGTGTTATTAGCCCTAAGGATTACATATAAGTTGTTGTAGGACTTGGCTAGTGAGTTTAGGGTTCCAAAGGACCACATACATGAGTTTACTCTTCAATAAACCTCACACAAGGAGTTTACGGTCGTAAACCCTTGAGTTTACGGCCACGAACTCCTAAGCTTAATTTCATTTGGTGTTTTGAAGTTCTAAATGATCCCTAGAAGCATTCTTACTTGGTGGATTAATTCTTGGAAGGGTTTAGGGCACTTATACACTCCTTTGAGGAGTTTACGGCCCCAAGGCCAATTCCTTTTAAGTTTACTGTCGTAAACTCATATGGAAAGGGGGTGTTTTATGTTTTCAAGTCCCATACTCATCTAGGATAGGTTTTAGATAATTTTCTAAGGCTAATGAAGGCCTTAGGCACACTTTGGTACCCCCTTTTGATGTTCACAACCCAAGGACCAAAACCATAAGAGATTACGGCTGTAATCTCTCTTTGGGATGGGCATTTGATGATTTAATGTCCCTAAATAACTAGGAGTAAGTCAAGGCTATTGTTCCAAGGCTTTAGGAGTGATTAAGGCACTCTTTGGCCCTTGAGTTTGGAGTTCACGGTCCGAGAACTTCTTAGGCCGTGAACACCTTACTCTTGGTGTTCATGGGTGATTTCTAGCCTTATAAGCCCTAACATACAAGCCTAAGATAGTTACATATCAAGGGGAAAGGACTAGGCATCATTTTACCCTTATAAAAGAGTTTACTCCCCAAGGTGTTCTTGGGCGGTAAACTCTCAAATCTTGCGGTTTTGTTATGATTTCTATGTTATTAAGCACTTAAACGGCTATACAATACTAGAGAGAGGTACTCACGATTTGGAATGAAAACCTGAAGATCCGTGAGAGAGAAAATGACTTTTCTCTAGTTGTAATTGGAAATAATGAAATAATATTTCTAAGATTCATATATATAGTCCTGGGATTTTTGGCAGATAATATTTTTATTCACGCAATGAACTTTAATATAATAGAGTTTTGGAATAACAGAGTTGCACAAAACCCTAATGCATCGACTCTCCTGATATCTCCTTAAGTGTAAATCCTGAAATACTCAAACTTATACGGAAAAGTCTGAAAATTTACTGCGACTATTCTCACTTCTATTGACTTGATAATGTTTGTACAGAATGGAAATTTCGGGTTGTCACAAAAATCACGAAAAATACCAACCATATGGACTAAAATCACACAAGGTATTCAAAATTGGACCAATAATACACCAGTAAACTTTTTTGGATCAAAACCACATAATTTTAACAACCATATCGATAATTTTTACAATTTTGTCTTATTTTATATATAAGCAAAATTTGTTAATACTACGATAATTAAATAAATGTTATAAAAACAATAAAAATAAATGAATAATAATACAATATATAATATATAGTTACATAAATATCAAGGATATCCTAACATTATTAAAAATAAAGTTTTTCATAAACTCTTTATAATCAATACTTTCTTATATATCGTTCTCAATAGATATCATTACTAATCTATTTTTTTTGACATTGTGAACTCTAAGTAAGACTTTAAGACTATGGTAGCCACATGAAGTATAAAGTCGTATCATTCATGATTGTGAACTCTAAGTAAGACTTTTAAGACTATGGTAGCCACATGAAGTATAAAGTTGTATCACCCATGAATCCAGGTTAGATGTTTTATATATATTAAAACAAATTGGTTTATGAATAGTATAGTTTTATGGTTTTAGATTTTGACCACAAAAATTCCTTATTTCTTATTTTAGATTTTGGCATAAAATATTGTTTTAAAGTTTTAGACTTTGGCAAGTTTGTTATTTTAAACTTTGGCTAAAAAAAACTTTCTTATTTCAAATTTTGTCCATAATATTTTCTTTTGTTGACAGATTTGGTCTCTACACTTTTGTATGTATGCACTTCCCACCATGTATCAAATGCCACTTTACATTCATTTTCTTTGTGAAATGTTAATTTTACCCACTCAAATTTGAATATTAACATTTCCACCCTTTTACATTTTGTATATTGGAGTGCCTGTATGTTTGACATGTTTGGTTCCTACATAGGAAATATATTACAAGAACGACCCTTGTAATGTAGAATAAGTCCATGTGAAGAATTATATGTATATGAATGGTGCATATGTTTAAAAATTTACATAAATGCCCCTTTATAATCACAAAAAAGTAAGGTTTGGTCCCTACATAGAAATATAGTGCAAAAACGGTCCTTATAATTTACTAAAAATATCCATATGTATTTTTTTTACAAAAAGGTCCATATGTTAAAGATTTTCATATATTGGTAGGTTCGGTCCCTATATAGAAAATAAATTATAAAAATTGTACATAAATTTTACAGAAAAGGTCTATGCGTATATTTTTTACACAAGACTGGTCCATATGTTTAAAAAAGTTATAAAAATGGTCACTACCTAATACAAAATTTATAGATTACGCCCCCCACAAAACCCAAGGGGTTAATATCACCCTAGTTTATATTTAAATCAAGTGCCAAGGTTTAATTAAGATTTACAAAATAAGTTTATAGTTAAATGAAGCAAATCAGTATTAAAAAAATTGTCAATGAACTTGATTTAAATGACCCAATCATGTATGTGGAGACTTAAGGGGGTAAGTTTGTAAACTCAGAAACTACAAGCAAAAACAAAATAAGATATGGGGAATCAT